AACCCTTGCTATTAAAACTTTTTTTTACACCTTTTTTTCAATTTTTTGAGGTTATCTTATTTCCCTCCTCTCCTCCTATCTCTCTCTCTTCCCTTTCCTCATTGTAACACACCAACAGCCACAATGCCATTTGTCACATCCCAAATCCAGGCATGACCGGTCATGGCCTACAGGGACTAAGCCCAAGGCACACATAAGCTTAAACATGAATCCAAAATCACAAAGAATAAATGTGACGATAGCACAGAAATAAATAAATCAAAACCCAATCCATTGACATGTCACAAGTATAAATGGTAAAACCAGCCATAACCAACTTCCAAAAATATATACTAAATGGGACACAAATCGCCCACAACATAAATTAATTCTAAATCAAATCCAACCACAATATGCACAAAACCCAACATAACAAGCTAAAACAAAATAAATGAATGTCTTAGAGGTCCATGCGATTGAGTCCCTGCTACACCATGAGTCCACACTAAGTCTTTATAACACCTGGAAGTGATAAACAACTAAGTCAGTTAATAGCTTAGTGAGTAGTAACATAGATAGTAAATATAATTTTGAAAATAGGGTTCGATTCCAAGATAAGATATATATCACAGAAACTAGATTGGTATACAACTTTGATAAAGATAATCTATTTCAAAAAGAAGGTTCCACAGTTCAACAGTTAAAATACTCGTGTCTCAAGAACATGATAAATGACATTCTCCACTTAAAATAGATTATAACATGATCACTAAATAATTTTCTAGGTATCAAGAATAACAAGTAACATGCCACTAAATTCTCAAGGCAATAAGCCTGTTGGATCCAATATCGAACCAAGAGTCATCCTCGGGGTGGCAACCCGGGCCTTTTCTCTAAGACGATCCGATTGAAGGTCACCTAGCCTAGCCTAGGTCTTTTCCTTACAATCGTTGAGCACTAGAGTCCTTACTGCCTAAATCGGATATGTTACATAGTGGCCGGAGTCACCACACACAGTGGAATAATTTCCTTGGACTAAATATACAGATGGTCCCAATGATCAATACAATTTAGTTTCGCAAAACATGGTAATTCACCATTATAAACATGAGACCAAAATAAATAGTTTATAGTATGCAATTTTACACATGTTTCAGAAATAATTTAATTCCATTGATAATATAATAATTTATCAAAACAGTTTAGTCCTGAAATAACAATTTAATTTTCCAATAATTCAGGGTAGGGGAACATTTATAAAAATATGTAGCATCAACTACTCACCTGAAAACGAAATAATATAATCCTCAAATAGAGTATGAAAGTCCAACCAGTGCTCTGAACCAAATATGAAAACTACACGTCACTACTAATTTAAAAATACTAAAGAGAATAATAAACTAAATACCCCACACTAAAGCGCACTAATACAGCTCAACCCCACTCACCGTTACTCTTAAATAATACCTAAGTTCATATTCTTCAAGGTTTCCAATTACCCAAGACATTGGTTCAGATCGAAACTTAATTAAAAGTAACTTTAAGATAAAACAGAATTTTAAACAAGTTTTCCCAATCTATTCGCTAAATTTGAAAATTAAAAACCCACTCCACGCTATTCGAAAAATTCCAAAATCCTCCAAATATCAACTAATATATCCGACGTTTCAAACCCAATTGGTTTCACTTGATTTGCTTATTAAAATAATTAATTATATCCAAACAAGTTGTTTTCTGCAACACTTTAAAGAAATTAATGGTTCTCTTAGTATACATGAGCAATCAATGCAAGGCCAAAAATGTAATAAACTAGACTCGTAACCGGTTCTAATGACACTGATTTGATAATTTTCAGATTTATACTCAAAGAGAACGACACTTCCAAAGTTACTATTTTACACCAGTTTTCTGGACAAATTTGAACGTACCATTTAATATAGATTTTGAATCTCAAAAATTATAAGAAAATTCTGGTATGCAATTCAATATGTAATTAATCTGACATAAAAATTTCAATTCAAAATTCATCCGTTTGATATGATTCCTTGATTTTTAAAGTTTTTTTATTATTATTTTGTACAGAATTTTTAAACTAAGAATTACTTATATTCTTTATACATAAATTTAACTCCTCAGATTTCTTAACAGGATATATATACACAAAATACATACACCTACAATCTCCCCATCAATGAATTAAATAACAATAGAGTAAGGATGAAAAAAACAAAAACAAAAGGAAAGAAGAAAGCTAGAAACCTACCATACCCAAAAGTTCTTTGATTGCAACTTCTTCTTCTTTTTTTCTTCTCTCTCAATCTCTCTCCCTTGGTAGTGTGGCTATTGCTGCTGCTATTTGTGGTGAACAAATAAGAGGATAGGGTTTGTGTTTATTTTATTTTATAATAGTAGTGGGCACCACTACAAAAAATTAAGGTTTTAGAGATCAAAATTAGGGACAAAATTATTTTGTATAGGGACCAAATAATTTTGTTGCGAAAAGTGTCATTATTATATTTTTAGTAATAAAAATTAGACATTAGCGATGAATTATTATCCTTTTTTGACCAAATTTTTTGTCTCTAAAAATAAACCATTTTGAGATCAAATTATTTTGTCCCTATAAGTCTATTTATTAGTGTCATTTTCAAAATTTTGTCACTAAAAGCCTTATTTTATAATTTTCGGGATGACCTTTTAACGACTATCTTCATGACGATGGAAATTGGTCCCTAAATGTCTTTTGAAACAAAATTTTCACTTTTAGAGACCAAAACATTTGATCTCTAAAACTCTTATATATTGTATTGCACACCAAAAGCATATGTAGGTCAAATAAATAAATAATATACAAAATATTTATATATGCAGTATGCAACTCAAATGGTAAGAGCATTATTTATTAAATTTGTGATTTAACGTTCAAGTCACACCATCTTCTCTATTTTTTAATAATAAATCTTGCCTTTAATTTAAAGACTTTCACCATAAATTTATTTTATGTTTAAAATTAATTAAAAGACCCTCCAAATATTTAATTTGCACTTTAGGATTCACCGTCAAAATATTTGAGATTGTGAAATTACTATTATTTAATTATTTACTTTATTTTTATATTTGAGTTCTCACACCAGCCTTCCAAACAATACATGCATTGTACCATAAATATCAAATTGTCTCTTTTATATCTGTTAGAATAGGAGAGAGAGAGAGAGAGAGAAATGAAATAATATGTATTGTATTCAATGAATATTATCCTATACAATAGAAGGCCTGTATATATAAGCTGAAAAAGAGTGTCCCACTAAAAACCTAATTATGAGAAAAATTATTCTACAAGAAACTTAACTATGGTTATTCCCAAATATATTTAAGAAATCAATACTTAATATATCTAGAAATACCATATATACATTAACATCCCCCCTCAAACTCAAGGAGGATAAACATCTTAAGCTTGGAGAGAGAAACTAAAACATAACGTAAAACTAAATAAAATAAAATGGGCAAATAGATTGCAAAGTCTAAACGGGAACGTAAAGGCGCTTGAGATATATTAGAGGCCAGAGCTAATGTTGGGAGATAGTTTATGGTCGTGTTGAACCATTCTAGGAACTAGCTGAAACTAATGCCGAGACAATTTAAGGTCATGTCGGACCGTTGTAGAAATTGGTTGGAATCAATGTCAGAATAGTTTACGGGGTCATGTCGGACCGTTGTAGAGACTGGATGTTGAATTAGCAAGCGTGACACACACATAACTTATGATATGATGCTGAACGATGATGACAACAAATGACTGAGTGCGCTAGGGGGCGGCTTGGATGGTGTGCCAGGGGACGACTTTGGTGGTACTCCAAGGGCGGCTTGGGTTATGCGCCAGAGAGGGTGGCTTGAATTGTGCACCAGATAAGGTGACTTGGGTAGTGCGCCAGGGGGCAACTTGGGTGGTACGCTATAGGGGGTGGCTTGAATTGTGTGCCACAGGGACGGTTTAGGCGGTTTGTATGGTGTATAACAGTGTTCACCATGATATATGCGCCAGAGGAGGCGACTTGGGTGGTACACCACATGGGGGTGGCTTGAGTTGTGTGCCACAGGGACGGCTTAGGTGGTTTTCATGGTGTATAACCATGTTCACTATAATATAGGTATAATACTCCTCCTCAAACTCAAATAGGTTTGAAGATAGAAACCTATTTGAGATTGAAGTAAAGGGAAAGATATAGTGGAACAGAAACACACACACACACACACACACACACACAAAAGGATTGCGAGTAAAAAAAAAATATGATACAGATATTTGGGGTAGAAATAAACCAGCGGACAAAGGAAGAGATCACACGAAGCGATATTGACAAGAAAATATAACAGAGGACTAAGTTGAGGTCCGACGAACAGCCAAGGCAAGGTTGTCGCCCGCGGGTGAAACGAAATTACTACTTATGCATTGTATTCAATGAATATTATCCTGTTTATATAGGCTGAGAAAAAAGTCTCCTATTAAAAACCTAATAATGAGAAAGAGTATTTTACAAGAAACCTAACTATGGTTATTCCTAAATATATACCAGCGGACAAAGGAAGAGATCACACGAAGCGATATTGACAAGAAAATATAACAGAGGACTAAGTTGAGGTCCGACGAACAGCCAAGGCAAGGTTGTCGCCCGCGGGTGAAACGAAATTACTACTTATGCATTGTATTCAATGAATATTATCCTGTATATATAGGCTGAGAAAAAAGTGTCCTATTAAAAACCTAATAATGAGAAAGAGTATTTTGCAAGAAACCTAACTATGGTTATTCCTAAATATATCTAAGAAATCAATATCTAATATAGTCTAAGAATATCATATATACATTAACAATATCAAAGCCCAAGGACCTTGACAATTACATTTCATCACACGGGAATCTTATTACACGAAAAAAAAGATATACGTATAAAACACAAAAAGCATTATTTATATTTCAATAGCAATAGTATAATAATAATTGTTCAACATCGGGGTACTTAGTCAAGTATGTTGGTAACAGGATTCTCATTGTGGCAGCATATGAAGGTGATGTGCTTCTCCATGCTACGGAGGCACTCCAGGCATTTCATGCTCTCTAGTATCCTTTCCACCATGCTTAGGAATTCAAAGCGACAACACGGGTGCTCAAACCTATGAAGCCTGTCATGGTGATCCTTGAACGATTTATCGAACCCTTTGGTGATCACATTTTGTTTCCACATATAGGTGTACTCCAACAAAGTAGGTAACACTGTGCTCCCATGCCCATTGACCACCACCTCTGATCCTTTGCAGAACACAGCCCATCCTCCTCCACTCTTGTCATAGCTAAACAGTTTTTTGATCTCTTTCATCATGGGGTCGTAATCATTGGCCCTGCCAAGTTGAATCTTGGAGAAGAGCATGCTCTCTAGCCGAGTCCAGAAAAACCATATCATAGGCTCTTGCCAGGCAGTCCCTATTTTACCAGTATTGACAGCTTGAATGGCTCGCCTGACTTGTTCCCTTTTGCTACTCTTTCCGACATAGACCATCTCCAGATGGATGTGTGCGTCCTGTGCAACAGAGTTGGCCATGGTTGTGAATCTTTGCAACCACTCGTCGTCATCCCCTCCATACAAGAAAATGTGTTTTCCTTCTCTAATCTATAATAAAAAGAGGTCGATCCGAATCACATGTTAGTTATCAAACTCAATAATTTGATCATATTAGTTTAAAAGATGAAGTACTATATAGAGTGTGACAACCCTCACCACTGTTTACTGATAACACCACTGATTAGTGTTAATCTATGATTAAGCATGTTAAGTGACTGATTGATTGAAATTCTGAACTGATTGATTGAGTGTATTAGTTTAAATGCAAATCTATCTGTTTGACTGCTAAATGATCTGTTCATGTTTTATGTTTAAACTGTTAATTGAAGGCCTTATCGGCGGTCGAACTTGAAATTGATTAATGTTTTATGCTAATTGGAATTTATGTGATTTTATGGTATATTTAATCGAATTTTGATTTTGTATGATTAAATTAGATTAAATGTTATTAAATTACAAAAGTTGTACTTATCTACAAATTTGCCACTAAGTGGACCTTGCTAGACAATTGTATAGTCTTGATTCACATGTGTTGCATCTTTTGTTCATTTCATTTGAGACCCTCAACAGACTAGAGAGAGAGTTGGGAGGAAAGCTTGGTTTCATCTTGTATTTGCTTGAGACTTAGAGGATTTGAAGGAAATTTGCATAATTAAGCTCCTACATTTGTAATTGAGGACCTAAGGTAGGTTATTCATCCTTTGGTTCATGAATCTAAGTTGGTTCTTGCATGGTTCTTGGTAATTTAGAAATTAAAGGCATGAATTAGCTTAATATGTTGAATTGAGTAGGAATTCATGCGTACATGTGCATATCTTGAAGTTTTGAGTTGTTTTCATGGGAAATTATTGCATGCATGTCCACATTTTTGTTATAGCCCATGAATTCACTATGTTTTGAAGTTAAACATTGCATTTGACCTTGTTTTGTAGCATTGGAGTTCCTAGGAAACCCATGCATGTGTTGAAAACATGCATGTTACATTTAAAGTATGTCCTTGAAGTTTGGTTTGACATTGGGTTTAATTGAACTACCTTTGGGCTTTGATTTCTCAAATTGATCTTTGAAACATGTAATATTATGGGTTTTGAAGTGTTTTCCAGAAAATTAGCCCAAGAGGATCGAATTTGATGCTTTAAAGTTGAGTTTTGAGCTTGAGGTTCAAATCTGGAAATTCCAGATTTTGGACTCACGCTTGAGCGTACACTCTGAGATCATGCAGTTCGCTCGAGCAAGAGAATGCACGCTCGAGCGAGGACTTGTGTCTCACGCTCGAGCGTGGATCCAGCACCCGTCGAGCGTGATTTTTGTGCATCCAGTATTTTTACTGTAGCTTACAATCCGCTCGAGCGACAAAAGTCACGCTCGAGCGGAGCCTCTTTGTCTGCATGCCCGTTCGAGCATAGAAAGCCACGCTCGAGCGTGGACCCCTGTTTCAACAAAATTTTGAAAAGTGTTTCTAAGTGCATCTTTGCATCCTCATTTCATCCTAGGCATTCCTAGGCCTAGTTTAAGGCATCTTAATGAGGATATTGATGTAAAACCACACCGAGGCAAATTAGGGATTAAGTTATTATTTCCCAACTGTGTAGCTTAGTATGTGTTCATTCTGTAACTGTAGGATTGGCATCCGAGGACGCTCTAGCTGTTTATAGCCCAGTGCTCTGTGAGTAACAATGTTGTAAAGATATGTTCAATCATGAATATTTTCTGAATGAACAACTGTACTGCTTCCTGAAATGATATTTCTTACTGAATGAATGCTTATCCTATTTGCGAACTGTATTCGTGGCATCCATTGCAATTTACTGTTACTGTACTATACTGCTACTGTCACAGAGATCTCTGTCGGTTCCCCTGTTTGGAACCACTACTGTTTACTGATATGATGGCCATCAACTGACTGTTCGGTCTGTTAAGACCTACTGTACTGTTTGCTATTGGATGTGCTATTGGATGTACCACTTATGACTGCTATGATTGAATAACTGATATACTATTCAAATGACTGTTTTAAATACTAAAAGGACATTCATTCCTAACCTATTTACGCATATGTTATTCACTAGGCTTTACCTCACTGCTCATATATATATATGTAGGTGTACAGGCACCAGACCGTTACTAGGAGCGTCAGGCCAAGCTCCCGTTTTGTCAAACCTACCATCGTGCCTCACTACGAGGTTCCAAGTCCTTCAAGCTAGGACTTTTTGGGCTGTTTTAGATTTTCCCTTTTTGTATCTAGTTTTGTAGCACTGTATAGACTGAATGAAATGTGTACTTGTACTGTCCTGTTATGTTAGGGATTTGGTCCCTAATCTGAATATCTGTATAAGATGTATGTACATATTGTTTTGTTTCGAATGTAAATATGCTATGAAAAGTCTTTTTGCATACAGACTATCACAGCTCATTGGACATCTTTTAATTACTGTTTTGGCTTCCGCCAGCCCCTGTACTCTGTATTATTGTTTTACTGTTAAGCAGACCTTTGGTAATCTCGGATTACTGGGCGGTTACGATGCTAAACCCTTAGGGGCGGGTTTGGGACGTGACATAGAGATTGACATCCAATTTGAAATAGTCAATTTATTTTTAATAAACTATTTTGCCTTGGGATTTATATTATATTTCTTAATAGATGTTATCAATTGGACCAAATTAATAATGTAATAATGGTTATCTAGCTAGACAAAATAATATATATATATATATTTTTTATGTTTACCCAATTGAGTATCGTTTGGTCGATACCATTCACCAGCAACTCAACCTTCCAAGTCTCTTCCTTCCAAAGAGCTTCCTCTCTCAAGCTGGTAAAAGGAAACGCATTGCTTCCCCATATCCACATCATGTGGATGGCATTGGGGCTCACCACCTTACCTTGTGGGTCTAGCACCACAAGGATGGGATTGTTCTTGAAGTGCCATTTCTTCTTGATGAACCTAATCACCAATCGATCAGTTAGTGAGGGGTGGTGCACCGTGTACCATGTCATCATGGATTGCATGCTCTCAAACTGCCTTTGCATGGGCTCTATCCATTGCACGGATTGGTTCATAATTGGGATCCAGACCATCTCAAACAGATTATCCAACCTTGTTCCATGTTGACAAGAATCATTATAAATCTGTTCGAGAATTGAAAGCTCATCCGGAGAGATGTCTAGGCTTGATATCAGCAATAATACATTCTTCCTCCTCAAAACTTCCAGACTAACCTGTTTTTGGCCATACAGGCAAAGAAATCAGTGAACATGCAACGGCTACAAATGTTGAAGACAAGTAGGCACTATTTGTTTGGTTGGATTAATAGTCTTGGGATTATTAATGCCTTACAAATTACGATTATGTATCCCATCCCACATTTGGAACGTCTTAGATTAGGAGGGGGATTAGTAGAATCCTATTCTATCCCTTTTTTCTTTTCTTTTTTTTTTTTTGGAGGGGGGAGAATCACTAGACATAGACTAAATGGTGTAATGACCGTAATTTGAGGATATTTTTGTCTTTTATCCTCTAATTTGGACACCCTATAATCCCCCATTTTGTATCCCATTACCCTAATTCTTCATATGGGGGGATATACGAGCCTGTCAATCCAAAAATTCACTTTGTATCCAAATATGAGATTCGAGATTGACTAAAGATACATGATCCAATGCTCTAATCCCACAAACAAATACAACTACCTTAGTCTACTCATAATCTTAACATATGTCATTGATAGATTCATCAGACTAATTGTAGTTACTATACTACTAGTAGAGTCAATGTTCAAACCCTTCTCTTAGTAGAACCATCAAAGAGTGGCTGCAGATCATCCTCTCGGTCTGACGGATGTTGAGGAGTTGGGTTGCCGGACGCTGCTGACGCTGGGCACCAATGAAGTGGCTGAGAAAGGAGTCACTTAGGTACTGGAAAATAGAAGCAGAGTCTGTTGGCAGTTGACTAAACCAGAGGCGAGCCGACCCCTTAAGTGTGACAGGGAAAGCCCGACACATGATTTTGTTAGGGAATACATGGAGGACCATGAGGGTCCTGTAAGTTTCCAAATGGTCAACCAGGTCCGTTGTGCCGTCGAAAGAGTCAAACGAGGGCATTTTGAACTTAGGAGGTAAGGGTTTGTCCCTGATGGAGGCAACGAACGGTGAGTTGACTGTGGTAGATGGTTTATTCTGTATGTTTTGCATGACTCCTCGAAGCTGGAGTTTCATGGCTTGGAGTTCTGCATCCCAGAGAGAAACGTTGTCACCGCCGGAATGCAGCGGAGCTGGACACTACTGGCCTCTCCCTCGGGGGTGGGTGCTTGGACCGATGGATGTAGGGCCCGAGGTGGTAGGTTCATATCTGGGGGAGGGGGTTGTAAGCCTTCCAAGTTTGAGGGATGGGACTGTTGGATAGGATGGCTGGGGGCTCGTTCTTGGTTGGGTGGGATATCTTGAGGTAGAGGAGGAGGGATGGGAAGGTTTCTTTGAAGCAAAGCATTGATCAGGGCTTGGTTTTGCTCGGCTAGGCGGTTGATGCTGTTGGTGAGTTCTGTGAAATACTATGGTGGGTTGTTTGGGTTAGGAGGGTCAGCTTGGTGGTCGGCAACATCGGGGTGAGAAGCCATAGATCTAGTTGTGACCATTCACCTTGGTGGGTGGCAGGTAGGGGTTATCGGGAAGGGGTCTCCAGCGACAATAAGCACAATTGGCGCACGAAGTGAAAGGTTTCCCAAAGACGGCGCCAACTGATGTTACAGCAAGTTTCAGACGGATCTGGTCGGTTTGATCCACGCTTCCCAAACTGATGCCCGAGATACCAAACACTCGGAGGGACCTGCATAAGAGTTCAACGGGGAACGGGGAGTCCCCCAGTGAACCCTCCGACGAACAAGTTAGAGAGGTGTGGATGGTGAAGATGTAGTGGAAAAACAGAGATAGAGAACTTAGGCCTCGTTTGGCAACAGGCCGGTTTAGCCAAAAAGTCAAAAAGTTACTAAAAAAGTCAAAAAACCAACAACCCATACCAAAAAGTCAAAGATTCTCTTCTCTCTACTTTTTGTACATTTTTTCGTAAAAAGTCAAAAAGTCATTCCAAAGATACTAATTTTTTTTAACTCATATTTTAGCCAAATAGTCAAAAAGTTACTAAATTAGCATGTTCCCAAACGAGGCCTTAACCTTTTCTTTGTCTTAGAAGCCTGCTTATATCCTTTGCTCATCATTTCCTTGTCCACTCCGAGCCGTCATGTTGGCCGAAAGTCTATGTTTTAGCTTGCCTTATTCATGGTGAGGCTGTTCTGTTCCGACATGAAGGGTTATCAAAAAAAAATTCCAAATTTCTTTACAAATATTTTTAATGTTTAAATACATCTAAATTTGTCTGTGAAAATTTTCAAAAATTGAAATTACTTCCAAGAAATGATATCAGAAGAGGGACGAAGAATGCTGGTCTGGTCAACATTTATATATATATATCTCACATTTAAAAAAAAAAAGAAAAAACAATTCTACACTTGAAGTTTACAGATCCAGGAAGAAGAAAACCAGGAAGAAGAAGAAGAATAAGAAAGAAGAAGAGGAAAAAGAAAATACCAACAAAATCTTTATATATATGTGCAACACCAATAGATACAGTGAGAGAAGAGAGAGAAAGAAAGAACGAAGAAGAAAAGAGAAAAAAAAACAAAAAAAAAAAAACAAAACCCCCCCAAAACGACATCGTTTTAGGGGGTTGCTGGGAAGGGCTGCCGGGTAGGGTGGCCGGGGATCCGGACTCCACCCCACCAGTGTGCCGTGCCAGTCCCCTTTCTCTTTATCTCTCTTATTTGCAATTGTTAGACAACTCGCCACAGTTAACAAGGGAAGTGATTTAAGCTTCTTACACAAAAAAATTGCTCTTAACACTATACTTAGCAGTTTCATAGTTGTTGATTTTTTGATTTTCGAAAGTTATTTTTATAATTATAAGTGTGTCAGTAAGGATCAATCAGTCCTTACAGAATATTAATTGCCAACCAATTATCAGACGATTGTGTTTTAATTCTTTCAACCTTAATGAAAAGTACTTTTACTAGTGGCTTTGTTTAGGAAAATTAAGTAAACAATGATTAAATGAAGAACAATTATAGTATTTCATTAAGTAAAATGAAAGACTTACAAATATTCAAATTAGCCTCGTAGAGGTTCGCAGCAACAAACTATTTGAAACTACTCCTATGAACGAAGTGCAGTGCAGTGCAGGAATTTGAAGTACAGAAATGTAAAGAACAAGAAATATAAAAACTGGAAAGGAAATAAAGTAGATAAAACTGGTTTTTTAGATCTGAGTTCGGGCTACTTTCTGGGGCCCTTCTCTATTATTTATACTTCTCAATGACAACCGTCGAACTGCATTTTTAACCGTCGAACCATCCTTCCATGGTCGTTGATTATGTTGCCTTATAGTTAGCTCCACTATGCCACAATTGTAGTTAGGTTTCCCTCATGATTTTGAATTTAAATATGAGTAACCGTTGAAGCCACGTCACCTTACATCTTTTTGTTGATCCAGTGCTATGCAGATCTACAAAAAATAAATACTAACTGCCACGTGTGTGCTTATGATTGAAGATTTGAATTGTCTTCCCGTATTGCCCTTATCTAGCTACGTGTCGAACTGTAATTGATTTAGACAAAATATGTAGCCAACAACTGTGTAACAAAGTAAGGGAGAAACTGTTAAATATTTGGAGTGTGCTTAGAATGATTTAAATAAGTATATTTTTTAATTTTTTATAAAAATATATAAAAAAATTTTTAAAAATGATGTGACTTAAAAATATAAAAATATTCCTATATCTCAAAATATTAGCTTATTTTCAAAAATCAATGAATAAAATAATATGAATTTCTTATTTTGTTCTTCTTTTAAATTCATTAATAATATAAAAAATATAATTATGACAATTAATATTCTCAAAAAAATGTACTATCAAAGGGTAATTTTGAATTTTTTTTTAAAGTGCAATAATTATACTATAAAAAAAATTAAATTCTCTAAAAAGAACTATTATTTTAAGACAAAAGAAGTAAAAAAAAAAAAAATACTTTCATAAACTCATTTGTGAGAGAAAAAGTGAAATGATTATGAGTTTGATGTAACATTTTATTTTATTAGCTATTTTAGCTTATTTTATTTTTTTTTTAGATTTTAGTCACAAAAAAACCCCCAAAACCCACTCGCCAAACAGGGCCAAAATGCAAGGAAATTCTATTATACAGATAATTGAAAGACATACATCATATGTATATTTATTTATGTCATTTATTTGTTTAATTATGATCATTTTTTTTTCTTTACTTAGGATATTATTTTAGCTATAACTTATGAATTATTTACTTATGCCTTATGTTTTGTTTAGTTATTATTTTTTTTTAGTTATAACTTAAAAAGTATAAAATTATATTATTTTATTCTTTAGAGTGTATTCCATAGTGTTTCTCTAAAAGGTTAAAACATTATAATATACACTATATAGTACCTTATAATTAAAGAAGAAAATAATATAATTTCATACTTTATGAATTATAACCAAAAAAAAAAAAAAAATCATAACTAAACACAACATGAGATATAATTAAAAAATTCATAAGTCATGATTAAAATAATGTCATAACTAAAGAAAAAAATAACATAATTAAAAATACATATGATACACTGTTTTTAAGAGTGTATATTAAAATTTTTGTATAAAAAGATGTAAATTTTTTATTCCCTCCATCCTAAATTTATTTTTCATTGTCTCAAAATATTAGTCTGTTTACAAAAATTAAAAATTAAAATAATATGAATTTTATATTTTATAACGCCAATTAATATTTCTAAAAAATTGTACTAATTAAAAATAATTTTAAAAAATTAATAATTTTAAAATATAATAATTATATTACTGAAATTTTTTTTTATGATTTTGGGACCGGAAGAGTTAAATAAAATGCAAATCCCTCTGGAAAATAGTAGTTAAAATTCTCACGTGGAAAGAAACAATAATGAATGATTTCAGATCTCAAAGGTTAAAATTTAACACCCAAGCGCAGATTAGCATTCCCAATCCATCCAAACGAAATCTAGATAACATGCACAATCATCATCCTCCGCCAATCCCTTTGTCCCACGTGTCGATATAGAAGCTCCACCTCACCATCATCCAAAAACCCTGCTTTCCAAAGGGTCAAGTCTTCCCCACAAAAAGCTTCACTTTTTCTTTTCCGAAGTACCTAAAAAAAAAAACAAAAAGCTACACTTTTTCTCACTTTTTCAGAGAGAGAAAGATATTTTTAGAGAGAGAGAGAGAGAGAGAGAGAGACAGAGAAAGGGGTAAGTAGTATTATGTGCAACAAAGATACTTCTCCTCTCCAACACAGCTCTATGATCGACACAAAACCCACTCTGACCCTTAAACCCTCTCGCAAAACCCGATCCAAGACCCGGAAACCCAAGTTCCTCAGCCTCCGCCTAGAGCTGACCCAGCAATCCGGCGAAATGACCACCACGACAATCTCCGCAGCCACGCGCCGCCAGCTCAACCTTTTCCCACTCCACCCAGAAACCTCATCAGTCGAAGAAAAGGACACCGTGGCATACTTCTTCGACTCCGCGGACGGCGGCGCTACCACCCTCACCACCCTCCTCGGCACCGGATCTTCGTCGGAGGACGACACCATCGCCGTGTCGCCGCCCTCGCTAACGTACGCCTACGGGGGGCAGGATAGCGAGGAGGAGGGGAAGTTGCTGGTACGGACGGCTCTGAGGAACAAGGAAAGAGACGCGAGTGAAGAGAAGTGGGTGTCCTATTCGGAGGTTGTAGAGAGAAAAGATGAGGAAGTTACTAGCTGTGCCGCGGACCTACGGTGTGGAGCAAGGAAGATGAAAGGGTTGTCGTTGAAGCTTGATTATCAGGAGATCTTGAATGCTTGGTGTGATAAGGGCCCACTTTATATTCAGCTGGAGTCTCCACAAACCGTCCCTGATCTCCACGATGACTCTTCTAATGTGAGTCTCAGATCCTACTCACCTTGTCTGGTTTGTGAATTCTAATTCACTCTTCAGAAAATTAAATTTTGTATTTTTTGTGTTTTTTTTTACTAATTTTTTTTAATATTTTAAATATTTTTTTTTAATTTTAAAATATATCTAATATAAGTACACTTAAAAAGTAGAATGGTTGTGAAAAAATCTGTAAAATATTCATTACATATCAAAAATATTAAAAAATACAAAAATTTAACATTGTGATACAGACGCGAGCACCGCCACACCGCCCACACATTTGTGAGAGAGAGGGGAGGAGAGAGGAAAAAAATATATAATGTATGGTTACAAATTAATTGGGAATTATGGGATCAAAAATTGTGAGAGTTCATGTATTTTCTAAAATTTAATACATTTTTCATTTTCGTTTGTATTTATTGATTTAAAAAAAATTACAAATATTTTATATACAACTAAAAAAGTAAAAAAAAATATACTTAAAATTTTTAAAATATTTACTAAAAATAAAAAATATATATAAAATAAAAAAATTAATTTTTAAAAAATTGAATTTAAAAAACTAAAATCAAACACAGTAATAGTACTCTATCATTTTAATTTCACTAAATTTTATTATAAAATATTGTACAATTAATTTTGGATCAGGTTAGATAGATGAATAACACTTTTTAATGAGTAATATCAGATATTATGAAAAAATATAATGAAAATTTTTTACCTTTAAATGACACACAATGAAACACACGCATTAATCAAAACAATAAAAAAAAATTATGAAATATTTTATAATATTTATTTCATAATACTTGACACTATTCTTTCGAATCATTCCAGAAAAAGACCAATCTTTCTAATCATTCCAAAAAAGATCAATATTAATAGGTATTTGTTAAGTCATTAATTTCAGGATTTTAGAGGTAGTGGAGATCCGAATAAGTTGATGGGAACAGTCACCTATAAAAAAACAAAAATGAAAAAAATGAAAAATTGGAGTGCTTTATTTTGTCCTATTTCATTCTCTGTGTTGATTGAATAGCCATGATACATTATTGATTGAGACTGGAGTAGAAGCAAATCCAGTTTTTATTTTTTATATTTTATTTTGTTAGATAGAGGTAAGTTCTTAGGAAATAATTAATAATAAAAAGAAGCAAAAATGTTGGAAGTCGGAGGGGGGAGGTGGCATTGATTGCTTACTGGGATCGTGGCCCCCCAGGCCTCCCCTCCAGCAGCAAGCAGTAAACCTGGAGTGAACTAGATTATACTTTCACAGTGATTGAAATCGAGCCCTATTCCAAAATGTTAAGCCTCGTAAACCTGTTGGGGTGAGGTGAGCCCTAATAACACCTATAGTTGAGGCAGGTCATACGTCCAAAACTAGGACATGAAATCTAAGGGGTTAGGGGTCGAGTTACTTACATCATTTGGCTGGGGGTTAGGGGAGACGAAATTGTAAGTCTGAGATGGCATTTTGGCTTAAACTTCCATAAACTTTGATAACTACATTTTGGCTTCTGTCTCTTGAGTTGCATATACCTTTTCTAGTATGATGTCGAGTGATCAATTTCATAAAATCAGTTATAGTTCCATTTTTCTATTCCTTGTGAACCTTGGCATTGTGGCAAGATTAGCAATTGATCAGTTTTCTCATTATTTTTGGTAAAAATTAATTTTGAATTTGGACCAAGATGATTATATATATATATATGTATTTTTTAATCTTTTAAACATGAGTTCTTGCTACTAGACGAGGAATTTGTGTTGCTTAATAACATTCAGTTGCAAATTGCAATATTTAGGCCATTAACCATGCAGTCCATTAGAATTTCAATAATAAAATTGGACCTACTGTAACTGGGAAAGCGCCTTGTACCTACTCCTAGGGATCATTTCACTATTTGTTGATTGAAAAAGTATTAAATGCCAACAACATGATCATCTCAAGAGTTACTCCAAGCATGATCTAGATTTTGTTTGTGGAATATTAACAAGGAGCTATTGGTTTTATTGCTTTCAATCATAAACATTGTATGAACAACTTTTCTGCTCAGAGCAATGTTCCTACGCATTTTTTCTCCCTCCTTGCTTTGCTGCCCACAATTCACATTGCTGCTGTAAATGTAGAGAATCTCAAGTTTAATCATCTGCAGAGTTTGTTTTTAAAGTAGCATTGACATTTTAAAGTAGCTTGAGTTGTTTTTGAAGTAGCAATGATATTTTGGAAGTAGCCTGAGTTGCTTGACATATCTTCTCCCCTTATAACATGACAATTTTGTTCAAATTGGTATCTTGACTGTATTGTTTTTATGCATGTGCAGCATACAAAAGGACCCTCAAGACAGATTGTCAGCTCTGGACCTTCTGGTTAGTATATTGCTTAATGAGAATGTAGACTTGTTGGGCTTGTTTGGTTTTGTTTTTGTTTTCATTTTCTGTTTTTATTTTCTAGGAAAACACGGATGTTTCGTCTTTCAGTACTTGACTGTTGAACCTCTTTCAAACCTCTTTCATTCATGCAGAGTCACCAATTCATCAAGAAGTTTGAAGATAAGGACATTGACCTAGGGATTCTGGTCGGTAGCTTGGAACCTCCTGTAAATTTTCCGAGATGATCTGTCTTGTAATGATGTTAGGAGTGTAGGACTTTTTTTCCCCTATATGTACTTGTTAACAATTTACTAGAACATTACCTAAAGCATATAGCTGTAATTAAGCAAATGTTTCCCTCTCTTTGTTTTTCTATTCCTAAGCTGTGCTCTTCTCTTTTATTGGTCTGACTCAAGCTTGTTTTGGATGATTTTGATTTTGATCTATGTTTTTGTTTTTCTTAGGTATCGGATCTGTAGCTCTTTTATTTGTTTTAGTTCTCTCAGGTAGTCAGCTTCAATGGTTTTGATCTGTTACTGTATTTTATTTAAATAGTTTTATTGTTTGTTCTACAAATAGGTAGCTAAGAAGATTTATGTATTTTCGCTTATTCTCTGTGTTTCCTCTTTTTAAGGTTTTTATTTGCTAAAAGATGATTGATGAACATTGCTTATTGCTCCATTTATTTATTAGTTAATACTTACTGCTATTTGTTGTTATTATCATCACTATTAGTCTTGCTGTGCAAACATCTTTGATTGGCCTTCATGGTGTTCATGTTGTTTTAAAAGGTATAATTTTTTATGGAGCAACATATAACAATTTCATGGATTGACAAGATAGGTTTCGTCATAGCATCTGTAGGTAACTTATAGTATATATTATAGCTTTGCCTTCTCTTTGTTGTCCAGCGTTTTATTCATATTACATGCATTATGTGATTTTTTTTACATTGAAATATCTATAGAGAATCACGTTCCCATTTACTTCATATATGAATTTGACAATATTCAACTCTCATCATAATTCTAAGCTCTCCTTTGCAATTTACCATTGATTACAGACAGGTGCTGGATTAGCAGCAGATGGGAGGCAAGTTGTTGCTCGAACAAGTCTGAAGCAACAAATTATGAAAGGTTTACATTATGAATGATGAAAAAACTATCAAGTCAAAAGAAAATATATAGACAATAGATATTTATTCTATATTTTGGTTTTCCTCTTAGGAATTTATGGATGAAATTTTTTAATAGTTCTTCTAATTCTGATATGAATTGTTACTTTTGTAATGAGATCTTACTATGCTTATGTCTCATAGGTAGTGGTAATGTAATGTAGGTATTTAACATACATATTACAACTAAACGACAAATAATTCTTGCTATATTTATATATAAAATACATTAACAACAGGCGCTGAAGCAATAGGCACTCCCAACCTTAAACTTTTCTATATGCCTTGCTTCCACATCTAGTTATTGCTTTCACTTAGTGTAACTAAGAGGGTGTGGTGGGGTGAGGAGGGGAAGGGAAGGGGTGAAGAGGGGAAGGGAAGGGGAACAGAGAGATGGCTGCAATGAATATCAAGAGGTCTTAGAAAAGATTTTTTGTCTTTTGACCCATAGGGAAGATGAGGGCATTTGTCTTTTTATGCTTGGATATCAATGGCATTCATGTCTACACATAAACTAATTTGGTGACCTCAGCAAATATTCATTAGCCTCATTGATGGTCAATTAACACAACATGAAATTTGAAATTCAAAAATGAACCAGAAAGAGAAACCACATGGGAGGTCCTTGTAATTGTCACTAATCTCAAGGGAGGTTAGTGTAATTTAGCCAAAAGAAAAGCTAATACCTATATGAAATCTAAAACATTCTACATGAAAAGTGACTTTCAGACAACAGGACACTGGAGTGAACTGTATGGAGGGAACAACAAAAACAAATGGTGGGACATGACTAATAAAGTGATTATGACACTGCATTAGTTTGTACTTCATGTTCTTATACCATCCTCTCATTGTGCAATGAATATTACTTTTTCTGTATAGTATCTTTTTAAATTCCATGGTTTGGAATTTGGATGATACTTGATGTCACTTTCTACCTCCTATCATTTTGATGTATGTTGTCTTGCTAAGCTATAATATCAGGGTAGTTGATTTTAATATTTTATGGTTTTTATTATTGCATAAAAACCTTTCACGTCTAGAGCTATACAAAGTTTTTTAAAATTGGGGATACAATTTTGGAAATTGCTAAATCCAGTCTTCCATCTCTATTGGTGGCTCAGGTGTTGGAAGCACTATCCTTATTGTTTGTAGCATCTTTATGCCTTTTTTAGTCGCTCTGTTTTTGTTTTTTTTTGATAAAATAATGTTTGATGTGGCAGACCTTTTGGATGTGGAGTGATTCTTGGAGGTTATGACAGAGATGGGCCACAATTGTTACATGATTGAGCCTTTTGGGATTTTTTCATATGTAAGTTAATTTTTGTCAGTGTCATTCTTGCATGTTTTGTCTTTCCATATGCCTTCTAAGATACTTTTCTACTTCAGCAGCGCTTCAGGTAAGTTGTCCTTATATGCAGAATTCAATGTGTCATCTTTTCTACTTCAGGACTTTGTAATTATTTACAATAGATTCTTATTTCAGGGAATTGACATTAAAGAAATGCTTGCTGGTGCATCATTGATGGATGAGGCAAATAGGACCACCGTGGTAAAGATTTATTATTCATTCTCTTATTATTATTACTATTATTTTTAATTCATTGTTGTCTGCTGATAGTAGTTTTGTTACTTGAGTAGCCAAACTATTCTCGTCTTCTCAAGCAACTGAATAATGGACTTTCTACAATTGTGAGAAATGCATTTTCATCTTCTTCACTTTCTTCATCTTCTCCACTTTCTTCATCTTCTCATTCTTCTCCTCCATGTTTCTTTTTTCTAGCCTTGCAAAGGATGGTCCATCTCTTTCTAGCTATACAAAGGTATTGTTATATGTTGAGGTGTGTGTCTCCCACAATAGTTGTGTACCTTTTGTGTGGTCTATTGAACTTAAATATTATATACAGAAAAATAGGCCAGGATTTGGTGTATTTGCAAAGGTTATTTTTCTTGCATAGTCAATGAAATGGGAGCAAGTGGAGATGTTCATTGGTGTAAACTAACCATGAGGGGGAAATTAAAGTTAAAAATTGGTTGGTTCTGTTTTAAAAAATGATTAATCAAATCAGTTTGGATGTACTTATTCATTATGAGAAAGCTGTTCGATTAGACCATTATCAAAATTGCACAACCCACACAAATCTTTCACTAAACTACGAGTTTTGTTTTCTGTTTTATCAGTTTTCCTCCAGATGTCCTGAAATTCAGTTCTTTCCAAGCAGTACATCTTGGCAAGGCTCTGTTTCGGTTTAGCTTTGTGCAATACATGTCATCAATTGGAATGTTGGTTATTTTGCTTTAATTTCTAAGGAATATCTCATCCTCCTTCTTGATGACTTATAGACCTGTAGCCATCAGCTATTATCTTGGTGCTATCTCATGCCAATCCAATGGGGGAGAAGTGAAAGGTTCAAATCCCAATTTCGGCTAAAGGGATACATTTTGAATTCTTACTTCTCAAGTGGACACACACACACACACACACACACACAATACACTTGATGTGAAATTACATAATTGAATGTGAAATGATTATTTATTTCACTGCTCATGCTTGTAAGTAGGAAAAGAAGTTATGATAACAGAATATCAAAGTTTCCTTTTTTATTTATATTTATTTATTTATTTTTATGTGAGGGATAACCCTACAACATTGTTGGCTTTAAGCTGGTATTGGGCCTCTGGTGGAGTAGGATCCAAGGTTTTGCTTCACTCTGTCTTTCTCTCAGCCTCATTTCTACCTATGTTATGTTTCAGTTTCACTCATAAATATTTATGCTTTGGCTTCTTTGTTTTTCCACAGGATATGGTTGTTCTTCCTTACAAGGATAGCCTATTATTATTTAGTACGTATTTACAGCAGTTGGTCATGGAGTCACTTGGGAAGGAGTTTGACTTAGAAGGTAATCGGGTATGCCCAACCATCTCTGCCAACTCGTCTTGTTTGAACACGGAACAAATTTGATGTCCAAAAATATCATTATCTATTTAATTGTCGTTAGTATTGTTTACCATTGAAGCATTTTGAATTTGAAACTAAGGCTACTTATTTCAGATGGCCATATATTTTTGTCACACTATAGAATGTCAACTTGGCAGTGGTTCAGGAGGAAACAACTAAATGGAGTAGGAATTTTCTGAGGAAATATTCCTTTTATCTTTCTTTGGAGGCAATTTTTAAATATTTTGGTTTTTAGGTAGGACTCTTATAACATGTTACCATTGTTGCATCTAGTTAGGTAGATGGCATGTAAATTGTAATAACAAATTTTCTAGCAACTTTGGCTTCATGTTTTTTTCATTTAAAAAGCGATTTTCTTCAACTTCACCCTCACTAGAAAGCAAAATTTGATGATTTAGTATCTATTAGAAATCTTGTTTCTTATTCTCATATTCTATTCCCCACCCATCAACAAGGAATTGGAAATATTGGATTTTGATTTCCTAATTGTTAAAATGGCATTTGATCCTTGATTTCCAATGTGTGGACATTTTGATGTAGATGGATGGTGCACCTTTATCCATTAACTGAGTTCTATTACCTACATATAATGATTTAAGACATGACTATCCCTGTCCACAATAGACAAGATACATCTCCTGTTAGATATGCCTTTATTTTTCGTCAATGCTCAATATCCCCTTTGGTAATCATGCTAGAATAAAATTTAGGTTGTTTTTCTTTGGAATTTGAAGTTATCAACTAACTATTTAAGATTCAACAGTTAATCGAGCATGATATTTAAAATACCATGTCTAGCCTAGGCAAGGACATGTTGGTTGCCCAAAGCCCTGCTTTTACTGTGTGTCAATGTTCATTTTGATCACTTATGCTAGCCTTTCTTTTTTTATCTTTTTCTTTTTTCTTTACCTCAATAGGTGAATCAGGCACTTACTGATTATGGAAATAAAGGGAGAGATTTTGTTCTCATGTAGTACCTTATATCATATATCTGTATATGTAGACGATATTTAAACCTTCCATTTCTTTTCTACAGCTACATCCAACAAATGAGGTCTAGCCATTTTTCATTTTTGACATGTTTGTATTGTTTAGCTCTGATTGATTTATATGTTTGATCAACTATTCCTTGGTCTAAACATAGACTTCATCACACTTAGACAAACCACAAATTCAATCTAACCAAAACACTTCTATATACATATATAGATATCGTTTACATTGGTCATGTAATTCTTAGTTTAGATTATCACGTACAATGGTTCGTAGGTTTAGGATTTTTGCAGAGTGTTGATGGATTTGATTTGTTTTTAGCTTCTTTGCCCTTCTTTAGTGGTCTAACCATTTTTCATTTTGGCATATTTGTATTGTTTCTCTTTTGATTGATGAAGAATTTGTTTTCTAGTTTCCTATTTATTAATGCCAATGATGCAGAGTGTACCTGCTGACTTTTTTCTTTGTTTCTTTGTTTTCAGCTGTGGAGGAGTGCTCATAGAACTCCCAAGCAACCTAGATCTTTTGGATGATATTTCCTTTGTGAAGTTGGCCCTGTTGGATGATATTTCCTTTGTGAACTCCCAAGCATTTCATCATTTTTATTTACTTATTATTGTGCTAACCAAGATTGTAGAAAATTGATGTGAAACTTCTGTTGAAATCATATTTTTTTGCTTGTCTTTTTGAATGTCTTTGACAAGTTTGCAATATGTGATAAAATATTTTTTCCTTTGGTTGTGTTTATTGCTTGATTTTGGTTGAGAATAATTATGTAAAGTTTGGCTAAATTTACTCAATATATTGAAATAGTAGCAGACTTTTTTATCCATATTATTCCTATTTTTTAGCTTTACAGGTATTTTTTTTGGTTAAGTCTTAAAGAATTAGCACAATTTAAAAAATAAAAAAGTGAAGCTATAACGGCATTTTCAAACGCCACTATAGTATAGTGCTAACGGTTTTATTTTTAAAATAGAAAAGAGTTATCACAACGTTTTTGAAACGTCGCTACATATGGCATGATGTCATTGTACCGTAATGTAGTACATTTAGCGGCGTTTTAAAAAACGTCGTCTATACTAATATAGCAACGCTTTAAAAACGTCATGAAACTACAGCGACGGCCGCATCTTCGACGTTTGGTAGTTAACGTCACAAAAAGAATTAGCAGCGTTTTTGATAACTATAGCGGCGTTTTTTAAACGCCACTAAACGTCTAATTTCCAGCAGTGTGATAATTGGTGACAACTTTTTGGTCGTAGAATGTGACAATTGGCGACTAATATGTTTGGTTGGGAATTTGTCACTTTTCGCGACTAGAGTGCTTCGGCGACTAAATGGATTAGTCGCAGTAATGATATATTTAGCGACCAAAAATTTAGTCGAAAAATCTAACTTTTTCTCGACTAAAAAAAGTTTTGGTCGCTAATTACTTTTGTCGACCCTCAATTGGCCACCAAAGTAGCGATCAAAAAAATTGGTCGCGAGTAGCTTTTGCCAACTAAAAATGGACTTTTGCTGACCAAATTTTTAGTCGGCGAAAATGTAATTTCCTGTAGTGACCAAAACAATACCACAATAAAAGATAGGATCACATGGAAAGAAACTCTCTACTAAGAAAATTTAATAGATCAATAGAAAAAATTTGGGATTAATTGAAATACTTATTTATAAGATGAAATTTATTGGTAAATATTTCAAAGTTGAAGCACATAAATATAGGTCTCTTTTGAGAAGTGGATTTAGATTACATTATCTCTTATATTTTTTTATATGTATATATATTTTTTAAGAAAAGTTAAAAAAAAAAAAAAAAAAAAAACCAAAAAACTTAAATTTTAATCCTACTTTTTTGCATGGAATTCCCAACATCACCATTGCATATGAAGCACCATCTACAAAGTTGAGTTCTGGTGCAGCTTTTTTTTTATAGTTTTTTTTTTTTCTTTTCTTTTTTTATATAGAGTTTCTCGGATTGATTTGGTGTAATTTTTATTTATTACTTAATAGCCAAAATAAAAACTTAAATAAATTAAAGAAAAAAAGTATATTAATTAAAAATTGATTAATAAATTATTGGGTGAAGTACCAATAAGTCTCAAAATATGATCTTGTGAACTGTTTAGTCTTCTATTTTTTCTTATAAACCCAAAAGTCTAATTAAAGTGGAAATTACATAAAAAGGTAGTCACTGATATGTTTGGGTTTAATTTTTTAAGGATAAAGGTGATTTTCTCAAAATATGAAATTACACATTTAGGCAATTTACATTATAGAAGTTTTGGATTTTTTCCTAATTCTAGAACAAATTCTGTATTACGAACAAAAACCTAACACTCCAATGTAACATTCTAATAACGTAACACTTTAATGTAACACACTAAAAAACTCATTAGAATATTGCACTAAGATTTTGTTTTTAGTGTTACATTAAAATGTTGCGTTTGAATATTATATTGAAGTATTACACTTTTTAGTGGGTTAATATGCTTTGTGGATATGAAACCCACTATTTTTTATCAATTAAAACTTATGTAATCATTTTAGGCTTACACCAAGTAGGTAACATAAACAATCCCCACAATTAGGCCTTATTTGTCATAACCTAAAAAAGTTTAAAAAGTCAAAATGTCACTATTCTATTTAAGTTACATCATTTGATTTAAGTCACATCATCTCTCTATCACATCACTTCAAACTCAACTCATACCTAGCTCATATTTTATAAAAAGTCAAAAAGTGAACTTATTTAGATCATCTCAAACCACCCATCACTCTATGAAATCTCTAAAAAGATGAAAATGTTAAATCATACCTTATCCACATAAAACCAAATCTCCAAAAAAAAATCAAAATCAAATCTCAAATAAGGACAAATAAGTAAACTCTAATATTACTAAATCAAATTAATAATACATACTATAAATAAAAAGAACTAATTAATTTATAAAAAAAATATATAAAACTAAATAAATTAATATTTCTCAAATGAGATTTATGAGTAATTTTTTCTAAATTGTTTTAATTTTGAACTTCAAATAAATCGTATGCATGGAGCTACCTGCATTGCACGGAAGTCTTAAAAAAGCGAAGGATCAATAGGGAGGGAGGGCCCAATTTTTTCACTTTCTCGTGCAAAGTTTTGTGAATTAGCTGAGTGCTGGGCTGTGTCTCTCTGGTGTGATGATGGTCCCCCTAACCATTACTGGACACTCCTTATAAAAACACATGTGAGAAAGTTGGTTGCTAAATTATTATGCATATCCTCGACCCATCCTTTCTCTTTTCACCCTTAATATAGTTGATAGTAGAGGTGTGCGTAATACGGTTCGAATAATTTAAGAGTAAAATTATAAATTGAATGACATATTAGTGAATTAGTGGATTGGCAAATTATGATTTAGACAATTTTAGGCAGATTGAAGAATAATATTCTAACCCATTATCAAGTATTTACATGATATATAACACTAATTTGTATCATATTTTTCATATATATAACACAAATAAATTTTACATAATATTTTCATATATATAACTATTAATTTATAACAAATTTCGCATTTTAAATCTCTTTCACATTCATTTTTAATTTGATATTTTGTTACAGATCAAAAAATATATATGTGTTAATTATAGTGAATTAGAATGGCTTCGAACACGAATTATAAATTTTAAAATTTTTGCGATTAACAGATAGAACGGTGTAAATTGATGCGGATCAATATGATTTTAACAGAATAGATGATATTTTGCACTACCCTAATATATACCATTGGTGTCTTTAGATTTTGATTTTAATTTATAAGGGCAAATTACAAACACCCCCTCGAGGTTTGGTAAAAATACAGATTCTCCCCTGAGGTTTGAGAAATTACATCCCGCCCCCTGAGGTTTATATTTTCATAACAAATTGCCTCCTGAGGTTTTTATTTTCATACAGATTCCTCCCTAATTTTTCTTAATTTGTTATGAAAATATGACCCTCAGGGGGCAATTTGTAATTTCTCAAACCTCAGGGAAAAATCTGTATTTTTATCAAACTTCGAGGGGGTGCTTGTAATTTGCCCAATTTATAATTTGTTTTTTTTTTTTTTTTATCAATAGTGAAACTTACATGTTTACCATGTGTACGGAGTTTTGAGTGCATCACCAAGGATTAGTAAGGTTTATAAGCGTAAATTACACTGACTTTCTGTGACGTTTGAAAAATTAGAATTAGATTTATAACAATTTGATTCATGCATACGGAATTTTGAGTTCATCATTAAGGATGAGTAATTTATTAGTCATATAAATGAAAGGTTAATGTTATTATTTATTTTTTATTAAAATAAAAGTTAATGTTATTATTTATTTACTTTATTTATTTTAATAATCATCTACCATATGCATTAGTTTTGATAATTTAAATCCAACTAAGAGCTAATCAATTTAATTATGCCATATTTGTGAACTAATAATATTTTTCTTAATTTTCATAAAAATTGAGTGTAATTTTTTTTTAATTTATTAATTTTTTATTGGGGAATTGACCCATAAATCCTAAAAGGTGGGATTGTAATCTAACCAGTCCCATATTTAATTTTGTACACCCAAAGGTCCCATTATTTGGGGGTGGACAGTTTTGCCCATGAACTTACTGTTTTGGGTTTGGTGATATTATATTTGAGTGATGTGGGTGTATGTAACATTTGGAAAAAGCTTACTATACCTTTTTTATGATGTGGGTGTATATAACGTTTGCGAAAAGCTTACTATAGCTTTTTTACCACATTTATGATGTGGGTGTATGTAACGTTTGGAAAAAACTTACTATAGCACATTTATGATGTGGGTGTATGTAACGTTTGGAAAAAGCTTACTATAGTTTTTTTATGATGTGGGTGTATGTAACGTTTAGGAAAAACACATTTATGATGTGGGTGTATGTAACGTTTGGGAAAAGCTTACTATAGCTTTTTTTGGGTTTAGTAGTGTATGTAGAGGTGTCAACGTTATTTATGACCCACACGTTTCAACCATAAAAAAAAAAGATACATTAGTCAAAAAAATCATTCCATAATTACATAATAGGATCCTTTGGATTACATTACCAAAAAAATAGGACTTAGACGTCTATTAATTTTAAAATGGGACTTGGTAGACTGCAACTCTCCAAAATGGGAGTTTCCAATAATTTTCCCTTTTTTTTTTATTTATAAAAATTAAAATTTTATTTTCATTTTAATGATTGATAAGAAGTAGGAGCATCTCTAATGAAAATATTAATTTTGTATATTTTTAAACATGTTATATGATAAAAAGTGATGAAAATAAAATTTAAAAATATATATTAAGAATTTATTAATTTAAAAAGTAAATGGTAATAGCCCCGTTTGGTAGAGTTGTGGGAAAGTGATTATGGCCCGTTTGGTAGAGCTGTGGGAAAGTGATTATGGCCCCGTTTGGTAGAGCTGTAGCCTGTGGACATAAACTGATTTTTAACTGATAAATTAAGCTTCTTCCCCCCACTCAAAGAATAAGTTGATTTTTGACTTACAAAAAATTATAAGCTGTATTATTAAGTGAACCAAATACATCAAAATAGCTAAAAACTGAAATAAGCTGGAAATAAGTCCTACCAAACAGGGCCTATAACTTATAGTCTAACAGCTTATACCTTATAACTGTGAATATAAGCTGATTTTTAACTTACAAATGAAGCTTATCCTCCCTCACTTAAAGAATAAGTTGATTTTTGACTTACAAAAAGTTATAAACTGTATCGTTAAGCTGAATTAAATACATCAAAATAACTTAAATTAAGCTAAAAATTAAAATAAGATAGAAACAAGTCTTACCAAACAAGGCTAATGGAAGGTGTGTCTTAAGAATTTATAAATAATAGATGAAGTAAATGAATAAAAAAAAAAAAAAAAAAGTGTCCAATAGCCCCACCCCACCAGTGTGCCGTGCCAGTCCCCTCTCTCTTTATCTCTCTTATTTGCAATTGTTAGACAACTCGCCACAGTTAACAAGTGAAGTGATTTAAGCTTCTTACACAAAAAAAATTGCTCTTAACACTATACTTAGCAGTTTCACAGTTGTTGATTTTTTGATTTTCGAAAGTTATTTTTATAATTATAAGTGTGTCAGTAAGGATCAATCAGTCCTTACAGAATATTAATTGCCAACCAATTATCAGACGATTGTGTTTTAATTCTTTCAACCTTAATGAAAAGTACTTTTACTAGTGGCTTTGTTTAGGAAAATTAAGTAAACAATGATTAAATGAAGAACAATTATAGTATTTCATTAAGTAAAATGAAAAACTTACAAATATTCAAATCAGCCTCGTAGAGGTTCGCAGCAACAAACTATTTGAAACTACTCCTATGAACGAAGTGCAGTGCAGTGCAGGAATTTGAAGTACAGAAATGTAAAGAACAAGAAATATAAAAACTGGAAAGGAAATAAAGTAGATAAAACTGGTTTTTTAGATCTGAGTTCGGGCTACTTTCTGGGGCCCTTCTCTATTATTTATACTTCTCAATGACAACCGTCGAACTGCATTTTTAACCGTCGAACCATCCTTCCATGGTCGTTGATTATGTTGCCTTATAGTTAGCTCCACTATGCCACAATTGTAGTTAGGTTTCCCTCATGATTTTGAATTTAAATATGAGTAACCGTTGAAGCCACGTCACCTTACATCTTTTTGTTGATCCAGTGCTATGCAGATCTACAAAAAATAAATACTAACTGCCACGTGTGTGCTTATGATTGAAGATTTGAATTGTCTTCCCGTATTGCCCTTATCTAGCCACGTGTCGAACTGTAATTGATTTGGACAAAATATGTAGCCAACAACTGTGTAACAAAGTAAGGGAGAAACTGTTAAATATTTGGAGCGTGCTTAGAATGATTTAAATAAGTATATTTTTTAATTTTTTATAAAAATATATAAATTTTTTTTTTAAAATGATGTGACTTAAAAAAATAAAAATATTCCTATATCTCAAAATATTAGCTTATTTTCAAAAATCAATGAATAAAATAATATGAATTTCTTATTTTTTCTTCTTTTAAATTCATTAATAATATAAAAAATATAATTATGACAATTAATATTCTCAAAAAAATGTACTATCAAAGGGTAATTTTGAATTTTTTTTTAAAGTGCAATAATTATACTATAAAAAAAATTAAATTCTCTAAAAAGAACTATTATTTTAAGACAAAAGAAGTAAAAAAAAAAAAAATACTTTCATAAACTCATTTGTGAGAGAAAAAGTGAAATGATTATGAGTTTGATGTAACATTTTATTTTATTAGCTATTTTAGCTTATTTTATTTTTTTTTGAATTTTAACACAAAAAAAAAACTAATTTTTGACTTTCCAAACACCCCCAAAATACATTATTTTTGTTGTCATTAATGCTTGGTTTGTTTTTAGAGATGGAATGGATAGAATTGTTAGTGTAGAGATTATTAATAAGAAGTAAAATTATATTTGTTTGATTATAGTTGTTAGTGTGAAGATTATCAAATTATTTTTATATAAAATAATGAGAGAACAAAAACAAAAACAAAAAACAAATCAGCCATGATTTTTGAAAATAGCCCATGGTTTTGAACTTTAATTTTCACTTGGGCAAGACAACCGGCCAAATGCCCTCCCGAATATTAGATTTTACTCTAATTCCAACAAATTATTTCTGAATACCATCTCCTCTAAGTGATTGTTAGTCTACTCCTCTAAGGATTTTCATATTCCAAATGGACTTTGAATCCGAACCTCTATTTTGCAAATAAACATGATATTGGTGCTCCTTACCTCACTAACAGTCTAGTTCGGCCCTTGAGTTCAGAAAACAAACAAGGCCTATAATTCGTAGGGATGACTGTTTTGACTATCAATGAATAGATGAGTTGTATTTTAATTGATCCATGTATATTCTATGTTCGATTATGTGAACAATTTATATATTAATGTATTAATAGATTTTAAACATATTGACCAAAATATCCCTGTATGTTCACGCATAAAAGCATACCGTTTATATTTAAGAGATAATTATCAATAAGTCCTATTGATTGGATTTACTCATAATTTTTTTAAAAAAAGAGAGAGAGAGAGAGAGAGAGAGACAGAGAAAGGGGTAAGTAGTATTATGTGCAACGAAGATACTTCTCCTCTCCAACACAGCTCTATGATCGACACAAAACCCACTCTGACCCTTAAACCCTCTCGCAAAACCCGATCCAAGACCCGGAAACCCAAGTTCCTCAGCCTCCGCCTAGAGCTGACCCAGCAATCCGGCGAAATGACCACCACGACAATCTCCGCAGCCACGCGCCGCCAGCTCAACCTTTTCCCACTCCACCCAGAAACCTCATCAGTCGAAGAAAAGGACACCGTGGCATACTTCTTCGACTCCGCGGACGGCGGCGCCACCACCCTCACCACCCTCCTCGGCACCGGATCTTCGTCGGAGGACGACACCACCGCCGTGTCGCCGCCCTCGCTAACGTACGCCTACGGGGGGCAGGATAGCGAGGAGGAGGGGAAGTTGCTGGTACGGACGGCTCTGAGGAACAAGGAAAGAGACGCGAGTGAAGAGAAGTGGGTGTCCTATTCGGAGGTTGTAGAGAGAAAAGATGAGGAAGTTACTAGCTGTGCCGCGGACCTACGGTGTGGAGCAAGGAAGATGAAAGGGTTGTCGTTGAAGCTTGATTATCAGGAGATCTTGAATGCTTGGTGTGATAAGGGCCCACTTTATATTCAGCTGGAGTCTCCACAAACCGTCCCTGATCTCCACGATGACTCTTCTAATGTGAGTCTCAGATCCTACTCACCTTGTTTGGTTTGTGAAATCTAATTCACTCTTCAGAAAATTAAATTTTGTATTTTATGTTTTTTTTCACTAAATTTTTTAATATTTTAAATAATATATATATTTTAAAATTTTGAGATATATCTAATATAAATAAGCTTAAAAAGTAGAATGATTGTGAAAAAATCTGTAAAATATTCATTAAATATAAAAAAATATTAAAAAATACAAAGATTTAACACTGTGATACAGACGCGAGCACCCCCACACCCCCCACACATTCGTGAGAGAGAGAGGGGAGGAGAGAGGAAAAAAAATATATAATGTATGGTTACAAATTAATTGGGAATTATGGGATAAAAAATTGTGAGAGTTTCATGTGTTTTCTAAAATTTAGTACATTTTTTTATTTTTGTTTGTATTTATTGATTTTAACTTCTTTTTTTTTGACAAATATTTTATTTTTTAATAAGGTGTATTAAAAAAATAAAAAAATTATTTAAAATTTTAAAAATATTTACTAAAAATAAAATAAAAATATAAAATAAAAAATTTAATTCTTAGAAAATTAAATTTAAAAAATTAAAATTAAAATCAAACACAGTAATAGTACTCTATCATTTTAATTTCGCTAAATTTTATTATAAAATATTGTACAATTAATTTTGGATCATGTTAGATAGATGAATAACACTTTTTAATGAGTAATATCAGATATTATGAAAAAAGAAAATTTTATTAAAATTTTTTACCTTTAAATGACACACAATGAAGCAAACGCATTAATCAAAACAGTAAAAAAAAAATTAAAAATATTTTATAATATTTATATCATCACACTTGACATTATTCTTTCGAATCATTCCAAAAAAAGACCAATCTTTCTAATCATTCCCAAAAAGACCAATAATAAATATTTGTTAAGTCATTAATTTCAGGATTTTAGAGTTAGTGGAGATCCGAATAAGTTGATTGGAACAGTCACCTATAAAAAAAACAAAAATGAGAAAAATGAAAAATTGGAGTGCTTTATTTTGTCCTATTTCGTTCTCTGTGTTGATCGAATAGCCATGATACATTGGCCTCGTTTGGGAAGTTAGTTTTTGGCTATTTTAGTAGGTTAAAATTTTTGTGTTTAGAAAGATGATTAGATTTTTTTGTAGTTGGATATGATATTTGTGAGAGAAAAAGTAAAATGATTATGAGTTTGATGTGATATTTTGTCTTATTAACTATTTTAACTTATTTTATCTTTTTGTAATTTTTAACCTAAACTAAGCTATTTTTTTTTTCCAAACACCCCCATTGAGACTGGAGTAGAAGCAAATCCAGTTTTTATTTTTTATATTTTATTTTGTTAGATAGAGGCAAGTTCTTAGGAAATAATTAATAATAAAAAGAAGCAAAAATGTTGGAAGTCGGAGGGGGGAGGTGGCATTGATTGCTTACTGGGATCGTGGCCCCCAGTCCTCCCCTCCAGCAGCAAGCAGTAGGAGTAGAGGCACTTTTTTCTTGGTGGGTGGGGCCTTTCTCTCTCCTCCACAGTCACCACACCACACCAATATGGCTGTCCTTTTGTTGCAGGTTGTCAGCATTTGTTTTGTCACTGGGCACCTCTCTCTGAATTCTGGGTGTCCTTGGATTGGACGTGCCACATGGGTTGTTCGTCACAAATTTAATTTTTTTGTTTTGAAAGTAAAAATTTATTAAATTTATGTTTGGTTGGAAAATTTGAAAAAAAATTTTAAAAAAAAATATATATATATATATGTAAAATTAAATGAAATGTAAGTATATTTTATTCATATTTTACTTATTTTTTTCATTTCTCTTTTCAAATCTCTTCTCAAATCCTTTATCTACACACAAGGTATATATTATTCTGTAAAATTTCATTGTTTATATAAAAACATTACTTGTACAATGATAGGATCATATTGACTTTGTGTTTGATTATTATAGATGATTTACTAACCCATTGATTTGTGTTAAACTTGTCTAGTAATGTTCATGTTTTGGTGGTTGTGTAAAGCCATTATATGTATCACCATTTTTTATCTTTGGAGGAAAATTAAAAAAAATAAAAAGTAATTTTATTTTTTTTATCAAAATGTTTTTGGTAGGGGTTGAAGGATGGTCGGGGAAGTAATGGAGGGTTGTGGACAGTTCCAGAATATAGCATTAGCAATGGCTGTGATGATAGTGGCAATAATATCAAAGTAAAAGAGGAAGTAGTATTACAAGGTGGAGGAGAGGAGTGGAAGTTAGGGCAAAGAGAAGCTAGTGTGTTGAGGTACAAGGAGAAGAGACAGAACAGGCTTTTCTCCAAACGTATCCGTTATGAAGTTCGAAAAATCAATGCAGAGAAGCGTCCTCGTATGAAGGTAAATAAACATTATATATATGTAATTAATCTATCATGTTTAAATGTTTTAGCTATTGCAAATGATTTTGATAGTGTTTTTCTTTTCAATATCATTTCTTCACTTTTTTGCAGGGGCGATTTGTGAAGAGAAGTTGAAAAGTTATAAAATGTTGGACATGTTAAATTGTAGTCATCATAAGGATTAAAGAGCATGTTCTTTTGTGTGCATTTTTTTTTTTTTCCGGGTTTTTTTCAGGTTGCTTGTTACATTGTAAAGGAAGTGATAAATGGCATGGCAAGTCCAAAAAAAACATTGCACCCAAGAAAAAAATTAAAATTGTAGAGGTATTGTAAAATTCTGCAGAATAAACCAAAAGAATAATACATGCATTAGATCAGATAATTTGAGTTAATATTACCTATCAACACCTTTTTAGTCTGCATTGGTTTGAAGCTAGAAAATGAGCAGAAAAAGGGGGGTTGAGCTCTAGAACATTTTTGTGTTATTGTGTAAAGGTCTAATGTGCTTTTAAAAAACAGATTGTACTTTTTTATAACATTGTCAATGTAAAACAAATGTTTTATACTGACCACTTAAATGATGTCAATTGATTTACAAAAGTGCATACATTATAAGAAAATAGTTACTATTTTTTTGTATTTTTTGTAACGTGTTATGCAATTTCCCTGCTATTTTATCTTTTTGTTAAATCTAGATGACTTTATCCCTGTAGCCCGCCACTGCCAAACCTCCAACCATCTCCCTAAAATTGTTCACTTTGATAAAATGAAATGTTGCTTTTATGGAAATTCATGGTGAAACTGTGATAGGGCAGTGACCAATGAATTAAAAAAATTAAAATGTGAACACGGCAACCGTCCTTTTTATTAATAGTCATTAGCGTGCCGTAATGCGGGTTGCAGTAGTAGTCAATGAAAATTCTCATTTAGACCAACCATTTATTGGGCATTTCTGTCGGTAAAAATAAAGATGGTGCAAAAATTTCACAATAGGACCGGCAGGAATTGTTATTCTCTAAGTGCTGGTTGGCATGTGAGTTTTGGTGATATTAAATTTATTTTAGTTATAAAAAGATAAAATAATTTTTTTAATTTAATAAGATAAAATATTACATTTAAATCATAATTATTTTTTTTTTTTTCATAAAAATTTAAAAAGTCAAAATTTATTTCAAACGAGACCTTTTTATTCTTATATTAAAATAATCAAAAAGACAACTCATATTCCAAACAAATCTTGAGTTGATACATATAGTTTTCGTTTCAGATTTGAGTTGGCTTTTTTAGTTTTTTGATCTTTTGACTATTTTAGTTTGGAGCTAAAACTCCTGGTTTGAGCTTTTTGATTTTTACGACTTTAATAAGAAAAAAATAAAATAATTATAATTTAAATGTGATATTTTATTTTATTAATTTTTTAATTTATTTTATCTTTTTAAGACTAAAATATCTATAAAAAAAAAACAAAAACAAAAACACTCATGGCAAACATAGCCATATCATGTTTGTCTCTGCAAAAGACTTTTTAGTGTTTGTCTCCGTCATTTCCTTTCTGTACATTGCCTTTCATGTCTTTTAGATCTATTTTTAGTGAGTAATATGCTTTAGTCCGTAGGGAATCTACTTCTTGTTGTCCTTAAAGATGATGTTATATCATACTGTACATCTTAGGACCATAAACATGAAGAATCACAAGGCCCGTTTGGCTAGTAGGAAATTGGCACCGCAGAGAGAAAATCAGGTAGGGTAATACTATAATGTACAAATAGAATTTACATATAAAAATTTAATACAAAATAATATATTTTATTTATATCTATTCAATCCAAGTCAAAAAGCTGGTTCAACAAAGAATATATGTATATGTCTATACAATTATATACGTAAGTGTGCGGGGAGCAAATATTCAGGCGAGCCTACACTCCTTACTTCCGAGCTCTGTTTCTATCCGATCACCTGCACGCACAACGGCGGTGAGCTACCCGGCGGTGTGTGGTCGGAAAACCCCTCCGACGATCAAGTTAGCACACACCTGAGGGTAAATAGAGAGAAGGGAGAGTGTTGAGTGTTTAGTGTATGTCTCATCAAATGTTCGTCCCCCCGGCATGGGGGGCACAGACTTGCTTATATACCTTCTGTGCCCCAAACCTACTCCTAGTGATTTCTCGACATGCGGTTCTACTATCCCATCTGTCAGCACAAATCTTGCTGAACATCACCTAACCCGACTGCCAGCCCACTCTACTGGGAGCTTGGTAGCCGGGCTGAATCTTCTCGGTTGTCGACGGCCATGCTGTGTTCCATGCCCAATTGCTCCAAGAATTGAGATCCTTTCCAGCCATGCTCGGCAGCATTCCGGCAGAGCCGACCTTCAGACTGGTCGTACCGGTCAACCAAAGGCCATCCAGCCGGGCTTCTGGCACAAGCTTCTCGACCGGGCTAACGGTGCGAGCCCTTGACCGAGCAACGCAAGTTGCGCGGTTATCACCTGCGCAAATCCAAGTGGCTCGATCCATCTCTGAGCAGCCCCAACTCCGGGGAAATCCAAAGTTATCGCGGCCCAACGCACCATTGGGCCTCCAATTTGCTCGGCCTCTAACTCGGCCTATAACCGGCTCATAATTTTCCCTCTCAATTGCCCCTTAATTCCGTCCGCACAAGCGTGACCAAGATTACCAAATCTGACCGGGGTAACACTTCCTCGGTCCTTAGTTTGCAATACGGTGACCGGGCTACTTGACATGCCTGTCTACAAAACTTGCCCGGTCGATGCCTCGATTCACCATCATGTCTCTTCAGTACTGACGCCGCCGTCAATAGGGGCACATGTCGTGGGTTGATTGGCCTCGAGCAACCAAACATCACGTCCGTTCAGATTCAAATTTTTGGCGGTCTTATTCATCTCTATAAACATATTGAACCTTCTTTCATTTCAACCTTACCGACTCTCTCTCCTCTTTGCCGATCCAGAGCTTCTGCCTACGTTTGCTTGCCATTGCTGAGTTCGTCTTCGAAGAAGAAGACTTTTTCCTCTCTTGGTAAGCTCTCCGAACCCTTGTTATTACTGTTTTCGTTTCATATTTTTCTTCCTTATAGCACCAAATCCGTAGGTTTAGGGCCTCCCCCACCCAAAACCTTCAATGCCCCTTAGCTTCTTTACTGTTCTTCAATTTCCCTGATGAACAATGAAGATCTGAGACGGACCGGGCTCCAGATCTTCATTTGATCCAAAAAATCACTCAGACCGAGCAAATCTATAGTTTGTCTCAACCTTAGGAGAAACCGGGGTAGCAAAAAGGACTTGGCCGCTCGACCAAGCTAATCTCTTGGTTCGCTCGGGCAACTGAGCTCCTTGGCTAACATTTACGACCGAGGTGGTTTGGCACAATCCACGACCGAGCTCAACTCTAGCTCATTTCGCGCGACCGCGCTCCCACTTACAATTACCCTCCGTTTTCCTGCAGAGTCCAAAGGGACCAAAGACCAATCCTGAGGCTCTCAAGGACCGAGCAGCCACTAATTCCCAACCTGTGCCAAACCACCTCAGCCGAGCTAGATTAGTCAGTCAAACATGGGAAAAATCCGTTTCCTTGTGGACACACCTGCTGCCTTGGCTGTCTTCAGGGAAGAATACGGTATCTCGGCAGACGTCCACATAGAGCTCGCCGAGATGGAAACAACCCCTTGGGGCAGGCTTGACCAATGCCCCTTCGCCGTGCTGTCAGTAATTGAAGGAGGCCTCCACTTTCCGGTCAACCCTTTGATGACCGAATTTTTGCGTCGCACCGGGCTAGCACCCACCCAAGTTTCGACCAACACCTACCGAATAATCAATGGCGTGTACGAGCTAAACATCCGGCTAGGAACAAACTTAGGTTTAGCCGAGATACTACGACAATACACCCTTGGGCACACTAGCGACGACCTGGCCTATTATTTAAAAATAAGACCGGGCAAAGAGAAGATAGTAACCGGCACCCCGGACAAGGACTTACATGATGACGACTTCTTCTGGGTGTCTGGCAACTATGAAACAGCCGACGTACCGGGCTGGTTCATCAGCAAGAGCTTTGGTTCCACATGTAAGCCGTGCTAATTTGCTCGGTTAAGTCCCTGCTTTCAACATTTTGTACTTACTATTTTTCTTGTTTCTTTTACAGCAATTCAAGCCTTGCAAACCAACTACCGATATCCCAACGTTGAAGCCATCTGAACCGTGCTCCGTTACAGCCACCAGGATTGCAACGAGTTGCTCGGCTACACTCCAACCTACAGATACTCAGCTCCATGCCGGAGCAAAGTTACAGACTTTCTCCGTGCTCCAACACCTCCTCTAGACCCATCTCTACCGGACGTGCCACTAATCCGGCTGACCGAGGAACAAGAGATGGCAAAACGAAGCCGCATCAAGAACCTCCTAACAGCCACCTCAGCCGAGATACCAAGCATCACCACACACTCGCAACCTGCCGGACAACCCAGCGGCCCCGTGGTCGCCTTGGCATCTCCAGGTGCCGGGCAACCCAGACAAGAAGCTCGCCGGGCTGGCAAAAGGCCTCGCATAGACCCATCCGCCGAGCTGGTTGCCGAGTTGACCACTAAGCAACCCACCGTTACTGTCGACCCAACACCACCATGGCGACCGCAGTTGAAGCACCGAGGAAAGGACATTCCGGCAACCGCTTCCATCAAGGGCGACAAAGAGCACCTGCTCGCCTTTGACCTTTCCAAAGCCCTTCTCCTACCGAGCGACGTGGTCGACAGCGACCACGTTCCTGACACCCAGTTGGTGAAATCTTCTGTTAAGTCCATGGCTAGGGTAAGTCTCAATCTTTCACTAAAATTTTTACCAAGTGTTTGCACGGTTTCTTCTCTGATCAGACTGTCTTTTTGCAGGCCATCTAGAAGCAACACTTGGTCATGGAGCGAATCCATCGACTGCGGCAGAAGGCGAATGACACTGCCGGCCAAGTCCAGAGCCTGCAGACCGAGCTCGGTCGAGCAAAATCCTTACTTCAAATTGTCAATGCCAACAACAACAGGTTGCTCAGCCAGCTTGAGGAGGCCGAGAAGAAGAGAGATGAGCTCCAGGCCGAGCTGGACGCACTCAAGGCGTCAAGGGAGAAGGAGTGCAAAGATGCCAACAACACCGGCTTCAAGGAAGCTGAGGACAGCTACAAGAAGCAGGTCTTCGCAACTCAAGACATTTATTTCAAAGCCGGCTGGAAGTCAGCCTGCGAACATCTCGGTCAAGGTCCTGACACCGATGTGTTTGCCGCTCCCCCAGTTGCCTTCCTACCGGTCTACCCCGTGCCCTATGCCAACGACGTCTTCAGCGCGTTGCAAGCTGAGGCCGAGGAAGAGCTTGCCAAAGAAACCGAGGTCAATGCCGAGGAGGGAAGGGG